TCGTTTTTGACTCCCCTGTGCAAAGCACACAGTGGGAGTCTTTGCAGTTACCCTGTCTGTATGTGTGTGTGTGTGTGTCTGTCCGTTCTACCGATATCTCAAGAGCCGTGTGTTGGTTTTTAATGAAATTTAATGCATATGTGCTCTAGGCTAATGTACAGATATGATTAGGTTTTAGTTGAAATCCATGCATATTAATTACCTGATTATCATGACAATTAGCTAATTTTTAGCTGTTCCGTGACTCTTCCACTGATATTTAAAGAGCCATTCATAAGATTTTGATGAAACGTGGTGCATAGATGCTCTGGACTAATGCACAGATATGTTTAGTTTTGACATTCCATGCATATAATTAACCTAATTTGCATATTGATTAGTCAATTTTCAGCTTTTCCACTGATATCTCTGGTACTAATCATCACATTTCAATGAAACTTGCATAGCTACATAGTATGATGCACAGATAAGTGAAATATTAATTATCTAATTTGCATAATTCGGCAATTTTAGGTATTGATGTTTCAAGTACTATTACTTCATTGTTTTTTCAATGAAACATGGTACATAGATGTTCTACAACAATCCAAAGACCTGATTAATTTTAAGTAAAAATGTGTGCATATTATTCAACTAATTTTCATAATTATTTTTAGCTTTTACACTGATATCGCAAGTAATAATCATCAGTGAATCTTGGTACATGGATCTTCTAAGATCTTCTAATACAAAGACCTGATTAGTTTTGGATTAAAATCAGTGCATATTAATTACCTAATTTGCATAATTAGCCATTTCAGCTTTTATCACTTGTACTAATTATTCCATTTCAATTGATACATTGATGGTCTAGAACAATGCACAGACCTGCTCAGTTTCGAATTAAAATCAGATCATATTAATTAATTATTTTGTATAATAAATCATATTTTCGGTTCCAATCACATTTCAATGAAACTTCGTACGTAAATGGTTTGGGACAATAATTTTGGTACATATTTACTCTAACACAATGTGATGATCGAATTAGTTATTGGTTTTTATTCGTCATTAATAATTACCTAACTTAATAATTTACTTTTCAGCTTTCCACTAATTTAATAACGATTAATTATCACATTATAATGAAACTTTATACATGTGCACCCGAAACAATATGTAGACCTAAATCTATGCATAATAATTGCTTAATTTGTATAATAATTCATTTGGTTCATTGAGGTAATGCTCAGACATTATTAGTTTATTGTTGATTATCTATTATTAGCCCATTTCTGATATCTAAAAAATCAGATTTAAATTGAATTCATTGCAGAGGTGCTCTGAAACTAATTAGATTAAAAACCATGGATGAGAAATCAAATATTTTTTTGTATGTATTATAAATTTTGATAATGTGAGTCATTTTTTTATGTTAGGCAGCACAAATAACAGACAAAAATTAGTTCCCAAGCTTCTCGTTCAAAAAGGAAATCCTAAATTTTGAAATAATGC